GATCCTTTTTAGCTGCTGTTCATGCTGTACAAGAACCTAATAGTTATCGCGAGGCAGTTCAGCATGTAGAATGGCGCCAGGCTATGTCTGAGGAACTCTCGGCTTTGGAGAGTACTGGTACTTGGGAGCTTGTGCCTCTTCCTCCAGGTCGCTCCCTCGTATCTTGCCGATGGATATATAAGATTAAGACTCGCTCTGATGGCAGTATTGAGCGTTACAAAGCTCGTCTGGTTGCTCGAGATTTTTCGCAAGAGTATGGTATCGACTATGAGGAGACCTTTGCTCCCGTAGCAAAGATGACATCTGTCCGTGCTTTATTAGCTGTTGCTTCAATTCGCAGTTGGCCTCTCTTTCAGCTTGATGTGAAGAATGCTTTTTTTCACGGTGATCTTCAAGAAGATATCTTTATGCAACCTCCGCCTGGTCTTGCTCATACCTCTGGACAGGTTTGCCGCTTGCGACGGGCTCTTTATGGTCTCAAACAGGCCCCTCGTGCTTGGTTTGAGAAGTTCAGTGGTGCTATTCAGTCTGCTGGTTTCATTCAAAGTGAGGTTGATCATGCTATGTTTGTTCATACCTCTTCTTCAGGCTGCACTATTCTTCTTCTTTATGTTGATGATATGGTCATCACCGGAGATGATCATGACCATATTGAGCATACCAAGCGGCACCTTCAGCAACATTTTGCCATGAAGGATCTAGGACCACTGCGCTATTTTCTTGGGCTTGAGATTGCTCGCAGTTCACGTGGTATTCTCATTTCTCAGCAGAAATATACCACTGATATTCTGTCTAGGGCTGCTCTATCAGATTCACGTACTGCTGCCACTCCTATTGAGCTCAATCAGAAGTTTTGCCTAGACGATGGAGAACCTCTTTCTGATGTCACCCGCTATCGGACCTTGGTTGGCAGTCTTATTTATCTTACTATCTCCCGACCCGACATCGCCTATGCTGTTCATGTTGTCAGTCAGTTTGTTACTGCTCCTCGAACAACTCATTATGCAGCTGTTCTAAGGATTCTGCGCTATCTTCGAGGCACTTTATCGCGTTCCTTATTTCTACCATCTTCTTCTGCTCTCAAGTTGCGTGCCTATTCTGATGCTGATTGGGCTTTCAATGTCACTGATCGCAAATCTATCACTGGTTATCGCATTTTTCTTGGCGATTCACTTATTTCTTGGCGTTCCAAGAAACAACATATTGTCTCACGCTCCTCTACAGAGTCCGAGTATCGTGCTATGGCCGACACTACTGTTGAGATTGTTTGGCTTCGCCGCTTACTTGCTGATATGGGAGTTTCACTTATGGATCCTACTCCTCTGCATTGTGACAACAAGAGTGCCATTCATATCGGTGCAAATCCAGTCTTTCATGAGCGTACCAAACATATTGAGATCGATTGTCATCTGACTCGTCATCATCTCCAAGCTCGCACTATTTCACTTCCTTTTGTTGGAACTGAGAATCAACTTGCCGATTATTTTACGAAGGCTCTTACATCACAACGATTTAAATTTCTTCTTTCCAAACTCTCGTTATTTGATCCACCTTGAGTTTGAGGGGGGGTGTTAGAACATGTTGTATAGTTTTGTAGGTTTTCCTTTACATCTCTTCTTTCTCTTTGGTCCCACATAGGAAGAATGCTAGGCTCCTTTACTCCTCTAAGCCTATATAAAGGCTTCTTATGTACATTGTTTCACACACCATTATAAGAGAACAAATACCATTCTCTTTTAATCTTTCTTTCTTATCATTGTTAACATGCTTAAAAGTGTTTGGTTTATTAGATTTCTGTTTATTGTGTACAACAACCTTCGAAACACTTCGTGCCCTTAGTAGAGACCCATTTCTTGAATCCAATTTCTCCATTCATTCGTAGGTTCTTCCCCTTTCTGCAATTTGCTTCCTCTTAGATACAATGTAGGTTAATAGTTCTGAAATTTTTGTCATTTGGATTTAACACACCTATCTTGCTATATAGTTTTAGGAATTTGTTGTTTCCTATCCCTTCTACTTTCGTGTTTGGGGTTAATGGTTTCTGAATTCAGAAAACGTAGCTCAACACAAACCATCAACCCTGCAATGCCAAAACCAAACACACACGAAAAACCCAAACAAAAAAAGAAAGTCACGAACATCATCGACTTGATGTTGCACGTTTGGCTTTGGCACCTAGCTGGTGTATCGGGCGATGCAATGAGGGACGGTGAAAGGCGTGTCCTGCTGAGCGAGGCCCACTCTGATGTTCAAGCTAGGGTCAAGCGAGGGACTTTATTCAACGCATGGAGCTATTCAATTCAAGAGACGGTGGGAGTACCAGGGTTTTTTGTTTTTTTTATCACTGAGTACCAGGGTTGATGACCACGAGATTGGAGTCTCTCTCCGAGATGAGGAATCGCATCTTCAAAAAATCATGGAAAAATGGAGAATGTCAGAGATTTAGTGGAGGGAGTGACGGAGCAGAGAGCGAGCGAGCACTGGAGCATAGAGCGAGGGTGAGGGACACAAACCTTTGCTTTGTCAGAGCAGGGGCGGCCTGCACTTCGTCGGCGACGGCGGGAGCAAGAACGGCGAAGCAGTAACAACTTGCCAAAGCAAGCGCCTAAGCAACCAGGAACGTGGAAGCAGCAAACAACCTGAGCGAAATCATAGATTCAAAATAATTTGAAAGCTTCGCTGAAGAGAAGTAACGAAAGAGAAGAAGTAACGAGAGAAAGAGGGTATACGGCTTCTCAATCAATGGCGAATTTCACAGGACTGGAATGAAGGAGATGAAAAAGAAGGGGCATTGGATGGAGACGAGAACTAGCATGAAGGGCTTCTCTGTTAAGTCATAAGCGTCAATCTGGTCGCAAAAGTAAGGTTCTTTTTCCATTACCCGAAGCAAAAATGCACAAAATTTTCGATTGGATTTTGACACCATGAACCATCGTGCTAAAACAGGTTTAAAAGTGGTGGGCTTAAATTTATTGTTTTTCCTTATATTTCCGTTTTTTTTTTGGCAGATTCTCATGGAGACGAGAACTAGCATGAAGGGCTTCTCTATTAAGCCATAAGCATCCATCTGGTCGCAAAAGAAATGTTCTTTTTCCATTACCCGAATTGAAAATGTACAAAATTTTTTATTCGACTTTGACACTATGAACCATCGTGCCAGAACAGGCTTAAAAGTGGTGGACTTAAATTTATTCTTTTTCCTTATATTTCCGCTGTTCTTTTTCTAGGCAGATTCTCATTGCCATAGCTAAGAATATAATATGCTTTTTTATTTATTCTTTACGTAGGTGTTACCATTCATATTAAAAGCACCATGTAATCTTTTTCTTTTTTTTTATTACATGTTAGCATTGTTGCAAAAAGAAATTTCCAAGAAATCTAAATTTTTCCACATTTTTTAGTAAACTTACAGATTAATTATCAAGAAAAATCCAAAAGAGAATATAAACAACTTTTTACCCAATCCAATATTATTTAACTTTTACTTTTGTCATTAATGTGATTCTGTAGTGGATGTTTGATTTGATTTGAATGGAGTGATGATTTGAAGTATTTTTGTTGTATTTTGGGACAGGAGCAATGTGATTCCGCTATTTATATAGATGTATGACACTGGGAAAATCTTCATATATCGGGTTTTAAAGTGTGGAGAAGTTAATGCTTTATCTATTGATAATTGTCCTTCTTTTGGATGGAGGGAAGTTTATTCGAGGATATGTTTTTCCATAAATATTCAACCCATAGAGTAAACTAAATCATCAACTTTGAAAATACTATTACAATAGGACTTGATAAACCTAGGACTATGGGGTCTTATTTCCAAGTTAGGATTTTCTTTTCTTATGGCCACTACGATTCCCTATTATGACTAAATCCCTAATTGTCCCTAAAGAAACGAAACTGCAAATACCCTTCTCCAAGTTTTTTTTAATAAATTTGACAGCTCCTTAACCAGAATTAAAAGTAACTAACGTTATGAAGATGATATTCAATTCTTCACAAACCTAAGGAAAATGACATCTTTGAGTAAATATACCCCCTCCCCATATTTGCAACATAATTATGATCTTTTACCATCAAAACAAGTTGGTCTCGACTGATTTCAAAATCACCACTCGGGATTAGAACGATCACATGAATATAAATAGCGCTTAAAATCCACTGTCTAGTGATGTGAGATATTATTTTAATACGGTTTCTCACGTGCAAGCCAAATAGGTTGTAATGGGCCCACATTTGGCACTGTGGGCTTGGCTCAACACAGGTTTGAGTCAGCCCATAGGGCCGGGCTCGTCCAGGTCCTTGTGATTTAGAATTTTGCCTGGGATGCCTAATATGAATTAAAATTGAAATTATTTGGTCCAATTTGATTAAAATACTCTAATAATTGACTTTACTCTAAAGATTCAATCGGCCATTTAATGCTTTTCCTGAACGTTGACCGACTCTTAAAATTCCATGGTTTGAAAACTTTATAATCGAAACCCGAGATCTTCAAATCTTATTGTCCCTAAGTCAAATATCGAAAGAAACTAAATATAAAAAAAATGGTGGGAAGTCAACGTAATTTTATTTTTTCGATCAAAGGTCAAATTTTTTGGTTCGACAAGAAAAGTCAACCTTTTACCATTTTATGAAATTTGAAATTTAAAGAGCTAAATCTACATGCAGAGGTTGAATTGATGTTCGTGTACACTATTTGAATGCAATGACATATTTTGTTGATTTTTGGACTTAGGGTTGATTTTCTCGATTTGACCAAAAGTCAATTCTTAATTTATTCATGAAATGATGCCTAATTGCTGATGAATGAATGAACCTAATTTCTACATGCAAATTGAATGCTAGTAATGCTTATTTGACTGTTTTTGGTCAAGAATGAAGTCCTGTCGCGGCTAGGGATTTTGAATCTCAAATTTTATAATTTTGATATGTTGGTGAAAATTCAAGTGTCAACACCGACTAATAAAACAAAAAAGGGAATAGAAGAAAAATGTCTAAAGGCCAACTCATCATATATCTATCATTGATCAATCAACTCAATACAATGAAATTGATTAGACACCCAATGGCAATTAATTAACTAAACAACAATTTCTTTTCCGTGTGTACACGCTTTATTATTTGACTTCAATTGCGAATACGATCCTCCGAACTCTTGAGTGGCTTAAGATTTATCGCAACCTTTTGAGCATGAATTCACACAACCTTCGACTTTCTTGGCATCTGCAATGAAACAAAGTACTTAAAAACCCATGTTATACATTCTCAAATATTGTAACATAACAGAAGTAAAAAAAATCAAAAGTTCTATTTAAAAGGTGAAGCTTTTGCTTTCGTACCAGAATGCGGGTCGAAACATTTGGACATCACGCAATCAAGATTGCAATGGCCTATGAGTGTCTCGACCACCGATGGATGGACGCAGTTTACCATGCATTGGAAAGCGCAGGCATGTGGATGAGGGAATATAAGACATTTCCACGAGCACAAGATTTGACACCATTCTTCAGATCTTGCCTCAGTGACTACTGCCTGCGATGCCATTGTGGCGACCAGCATCACTAATATGGTACAACTCTTGACATTCATGTTTGATTTGTTTTTGATGGAGTGATGATTCATAGTATTTTTGTTATATTTTGGGACAGGAGTAATGTGATTCCGCTATTTATATAGATGTACGACACTGGGGAAATCTTCATTTGTTGGGTTTGAAAGGGTCAAGAAGTTAATGGTTTGTCTATTGATAATTGTCCTTCTTTTGAATGGAGGGAAATTTATTCTAGGATAAGTTTTTCCATAAATATTCAACCCATAGAGGAAACTAAATTATCAACTTTCAAAATACTAGCACAATAAGACTTGATAAACCTACGACTATGGGGTGTTATTTCCAAGTCAGAATTTTCTTTTTTTGTGGGCCACTACGATTCCCTATTATGACTAAATCCCTCATTTTCTCTAAAGAGATGAAATTGCATTAAAATCCAATGGAAATTTAAATTGGTGGACCGAAATTTATTGTTTTTCCTTGTTTTTATGTTTTTCTTTGTATGGGTAGATTCTCATTGCCATACTCGAGAATATATGACAACTCTCGACATTACAATTGTCCTTTTTTGGATTAAGGGAGATTTATTTTGAGATATGTTTTTCCCTAATAATCAACCCGATGGAGAAATATAAATCACCAACTTCCCAAATATCATTACAATAAGACTTGATAAATCTACCAATTATGGAGTGTTATTTTTGTTGGAAATATGAGATAAATTGATGGGTGAATGTATGAGAAATTGATGCTCAAAGAACACCCTTGAGTTGGAAGTGGGATGTGGAAAAACACTAGTCCCACATCGGAAAAGAAAGAAGGCTATGGAGTGCTTTATATACAGTTACACTTATTTGAAGTGGTAACTATCATAGCACAAACTCTCTGCCTCGCGCTCAGGCGCAGGGGGGGTGCAAATCCGCGCCCGACAAGCTGAAACTTGGGCGCGAGCGCACATCCCGCGTACACGATTGCAGGACCGAAAAGTGGGCCTCGCGACGAGCCCAATTTTGCCTTCTGATTTATTTTTTTCAATTTTGCCTCGCGGCAGATTTAATCGTCTGTTATTCGTATTGATTTTATAACGGCAGATTTAATCGTTCGTTATTCGTATTGATTTTATAACAACAGATTTAATCGTCCGTTATTATTCCCGAATTGCTCTCCCCTCTATTCTTTTTATCGAAATCATTCTTCCTCTGGTTTTACACCCTCTTTGCATTTTGCACTGTTTTTCGGTAGTGTTCATTCCGAGTTTGTTCAAGTTCGCCGGAAGCTTGGAAGTGCCGTGCTCTCTTCTTTGCTGTCAACCGTTGTATCCTGGGAGACAGACGTTCACGAAACCTCAATCGCGTACTGGAGGGAACGAATCTGTTTTAAGGAAACTGTGTCAAACACAGGCCTCGGTATTCGTTTGTATCGATTCCGACTTTGTTATTGCAATTTCGTTTCTTTACAATTCTTTATTGTTTGTAATATTTATGCTAATGCCGATTTGAATTTCGTAACAATCTTAAAACAGATTCCTGCTTTTAGAAATTCAAATGGCTACGGGTAAAGAAGTCGTGGATGTGGCTGCTGGAAACGATGGTGTTGATGTGGCTGCTGACAACATTGCCAAAAAATCTGCCTATGCCTCAGCTGTCCAACTGCCTGGCTCATCCTCTGTTCCTTCTGCTGTTTCTGTCCACCATGGTGAGAAACCTGAAAAGTTCGACGGATCGAACTTTAAAAGGTGGCAGCAAAAGATGCTGTTTTATTTAACAACCTTGAATCTTGCGAGATTCTTGACTGAGGAAGCTCCTAAGTTATCCAGTGGAGAAACAGATAAGCAAGTCTTCAACGCTGTTGAAGCATGGAAGCACTCTGACTTCCTGTGTCGGAACTATGTCATGAATGGCCTACATGACTCATTGTACAATGTCTATTGTGCAAAAACGACGGCAAAGGAGTTATAGGAAGCCTTGGACCGAAAATATGAAACAGAGGATGCCGGAGCAAAGAAATTTGTTGTCGGTCGATTCCTTGATTATAAGATGGTGGACTTTAAGACTGTGATCAGTCAAGTGCAAGAAATTCAAGTGATCTTGCATGAAATTCAGGCTGAAGGAATGATCTTGAGTGAAACCTTCCAAGTGGCTGCTATTATTGAAAAGCTACCTCCTGGGTGGAAGGATTTCAAAAACTATCTCAAGCATAAGCGAAAGGAAATGAACCTGGAAGAGCTAATTGTTAGACTTCGAATTGAAGAAGACAATAGAGGATTTGAACGCAAAGGGTTCAATCCTACTACAGCTAAGGGAAATGTTGTGGAGCTTAGACAAGGCCACAAGAACAAGAAGATTGCCAAGCCAAAGTTGGGACCAAAAGGAGGAGTTTCCAAGAACAAGTTTCAAGGAAAATGCTTCAACTGTGGTAAAATGGGGCATAGGTCTATGGAATGCAGACTTCCGAAGAAGAAGAATTATGAGACAAATATGGTGAGTGGCATCGCTCAAGACGTGTCAAACATAAACCTTTCTGCAATAGTTTCTGAAGTAAACTTAGTTGGGTCCAATCCGAAGGAATGGTGGATTGACACTGGTACTACTAGGCACATATGCTCCAATAAGGACCTGTTCACAAATCTTGAACCAATTAATGGGGAAACGGTTTTTATGGGAAACTCTGCCTCTTCTGCTGTCGAAGGCCAAGGGAAGGTGTTGCTGAAGATGACCTCAGGAAAAGAGCTGACTCTAAACAATGTTCTTTATGTGCCAGAAATCCGAAAGAACCTGATTTCTGGGTCTCTGTTGAACAAGCATGGATTTCGTATGGTATTTGAGTCAGATAAAGTTATTTTGTCTAAATCCGGAATGTATGTGGGGAAGGGATATGTAACTGATGGGCTTTTTAAGCTCAATGTAATGACAATTATCAATAAAGATAATAAGTCTTCCGTTTATTTGCTTGAGTCTTCCAATTTATGGCATGGTAGACTAGGACACGTTAATTATGATACATTGCGTAGATTAATTAACTTGGAACATATACCTTCATTTCAAATTGATTCAAAACGTAAATGTGAAATTTGTGTTGAGGCAAAATTAACGAGATCATCATTTCAAACAATTGAAAGAAACACCGAACCCCTTGAATTAATTCATAGTGATGTTTGCGATTTGAAATTCGTACAAACGAGAGGTGGTAATAAATATTTTATTACCTTTATCGATGATAACACTAAATACTGTTATGTGTATTTGCTTAAAAGCAAAGATGAAGCCTTAGAGAAATTTATTCTCTATAAGAATGAAGTTGAAAATCAACTTAATAAGAGAATTAAAAGATTGAGAAGTGATAGAGGTGGCGAGTACGAAGTACCAATTGGTGAATTCTGTGCACAACACGGAATTATACATGAAATAACTGCGCCTTACTCTCCTCAATCAAATGGTGTTGCTCAACGTAAAAATCGCACATTGAAAGAAATGATGAACGCGATATTACTAAATTCAGGTTTGCCTCAAAATATGTGGGGAGAAGCTATATTGTCAAGCAATTACCTTTTAAATAAGGTACCTCGAAAGAAAGAGGATAAAACCCCTTATGAGTTATGGAAAGGTAGGACACCATCCTACAAACACTTACGAGTGTGGGGGTGTCTTGCAAAAGTGGCGGTTCCAACACCAAAGAAGACAAAGATAGGTCCTAAAACGGTGGACTGTATCTTTATAGGCTATGCACATAACAGTAATGCATATCGATTTCTTGTGCATGAATCAAAAATTTCAGATATACACAAGAATACGATCATGGAATCTAGGAATGCATCATTCTTTGAAAATGTATTTCCTTGTAAATCCAATGATGGATCGAGTTCATCTAAACGAAAGAATGAAACTATGAATGAAGAAAGTCACGATTCGGCTCATGAAATTCATGACTCAGATCATGAACTAGAACCGAGACGTAGCAAAAGAGCAAGAGTGGAAAAATCTTTTGGAAATGATTTTCTAACTTATTTGTTAGAAAAGGAACCATTAAATTATGCAGAAGCTGTGAATTCCTCTGAGGGACCTCTATGGAAAGAAGCAATAAAAAGTGAAGTTGATTCTATTTTGCAGAATCATACTTGGGAGCTAGTGAATCTTCCTCCTGGTTGTAAGCCTTTAAAGTCCAAATGGATTTTTAAAAAGAAAATGAAAGCAGATGGCTCTGTTGATAAGTACAAAGCCAGACTTGTGATCAAATGATACAAACAACGATAAGGCTTAGATTACTTCGATACTTATTCTCCTGTGACGAGAATAACTTCCATTAGGATGATACTTGCAATTGTAGCATTGTGAAATCTCGAAGTACATCAAATGGATGTAAAAACAGCTTTCCTAAATGGTGATTTGGATGAAGAAATCTACATGGAACAATCTGAGGGTTTTATAGTTCCAGGACAAGAAAGGAAAGTCTGTAAATTGGTGAAATCATTGTATGGCCTAAAACAAGCACCAAAGCAGTGGCATGAAAAGTTTGATAATGCAATGATTACCAATGGTTTTAAGATCAATGAATGTGATAAATGTGTCTACATTAAAGAGACAACAAATGGCTATGTCATTTTGTGTCTTTACGTAGATGACATACTAATTGTTGGTAGTGATGATAAAATGATCAAATCTACCAAGTATATGTTGAATTCAAGATTTGACATGAAAGATATGGGACCTACTGATATGATTTTAGGAATTAAAATCACAAGAACATCAGAATGTCTTATTTTAAACCAGTCACACTATGTGGACAAGATTCTTGAAAAATTCAACATGAATGATTCTGGTATTGCTAGAACACCATTAGACAATAGTCTTCATCTTTCCAAGAATAGAGGAGAGGGTATTTCTCAAGCAGAGTACTCTAGAGTTGTTGGAAGTCTAATGTACTTAATGAGTTGTACTAGACCAGACATTGACTATACGGTTGGTAAATTAAGTAGATATACAAGCAATCCGAGTGCTGACCATTGGAAAGCAATAGTGAGAGTATTCAGGTACATACGATATACTCGGAATTATGGCCTGCATTAT